CACACTCACCCCAAAATGAAATAGGAAGTTGTCCTTGAAAGCGCAATGCCCGAGCAACATTAAGGATATGACGGTGTTTGCGCTCTATGCGGCCATTTTGTTGAGGTGTCCCTACACAAGAGGTCTGAAAAATAATGCCATTGTCTAAGAAATAATTCCTTAAACAATTAAACTCTGTCCCATTATCACTTCGAACCATTGAAATCTGACTTTTAAATTGTCGCTCAATCATGGCTACGAAAGACATGAACATCCGATAAACTTCCTTTTTATCAATCAAAAGATAAACCCATACAGCTCTAGAAAAATCATCAACAATAGTCAAGAAACTTTTAGCACCACAAGAGGAGGGTGTATTGTAGGGGCCCCAAATGTCACAATGCACCAGTTCAAATATTCTGGTGGTTTTATTAGAACTTGTAGAAAATGGGTCACGAGACTGTTTAGCTTTATGACAAATTTCACAAGGAGTAGGAAATATTTTTTGGATACATTAGCAGGAAACAACCATGACATAATTTTCTCAGATGGGTGACCCAATCTTTGATGCCAAATAGTCACAGATGAAGATGAGCCGTTTATAGCAAAAGCACGAACCAGTCCATCCATGCAAAAATAGTAGAGTCCGTCTCAACGCTTACCCAGTCCAATCAGTTTCCTCATTTGAAGGTCCTGTATAGCACAAATGTTAGAAGAAAATTGGACAGTACAGGGTGAATCATCAATAAGTTGGGAGACTGAAATTAAGCTGCAAGTCAATTGCGGAACGAAAAGGACATTGCTGAGACAAATATCCTTCGTCAGGCGTACACTTCCGGCTTTAATAGCAAAAGCTTGATGGCCATTTGGAAGGTTAACTGGCCTTGGAGAGATATCCCGAATGTGTGATAAACACAAAATATTACCTGTAACATGATTAGAAGCCCCTGTATCTATTATCCATGAATTTTGGTTAAGCATACCGTTCATTCGCTCATCAAGAGAAACCGGATGACCAAAGGCAGCAACTAGCGCCTGCCACTGGTGAGGGGTGAAACCAGAAGCACCGTCTGCCAAATAGTGTCCAGAGGTGCTGGTTTCCATGGGGAAATTTCCCGGAGGCGAGAGAGCTGCAACGGACAGCCTGGGCCCAGATTTGCTGGAAGAGGCGGTGGACGGTGCCGGTGCAGAGCTGCTCGGGCCAGGCATGAGCTGGAGGATTTCTTCTAGCTTCTGGTGTCTTGCGCCTGGTGTGGGCCGCATGTCTGCAAGAGTGGTTGAATGAGATTGAATGAGCTGCAGCTGGTGTGGGTCTATTCGCTGCAGCAAGGGCACGAGGCTGGTGCAGTTGTTGTCCTGCAGTGATAAGAGTACCTCGACGTGTTGTCCTTCCATCTGGGAGATAATTTCCCTTGTTGTTACGCTCAGTCAGTCTGGGACGAGGGGCCCACCACTCTGGGTACCCAATTAATTCAAAACAGCCCGCACTAGTATGACCCCTGGAATTACAGTGAGAGCAAAGCATTCTTGATTTATCAATTTTTTCTGATTTCATTTTTCCAGAGATACCTTATAACCGCTTTCGCGGCGTTGTAGTAAAACGGAGTCTAACCTTTCGGTTTTTCCCCGAGTGTCGTGTCTCTTGAGGAATGGCGGAGAAGTTTCTTAATTTAATTTTAGTCACGGGCTATCGCTAATCGTTGGAAGCCTTTTCAATATAGGAAAGTGTTTTTGTTCTTTATTATGCTAAATTATAACTAGGAGCAAGGTGCAATTTAAAGATTAATGTATAAAGACTGATTATTCAAGGATGCAAATAAGGGCAATGAATTGAGTAATTAGAAATGGATATGTTCTTGGACCTCTTAATTAGGGAAATTAAGACTAAAGTTGGACTAATAATTTCTTTCCTCATAGACAAGAATAGAAACTATCTTCATTAATTTATCCTATTTCTAGGTATCATTAATGTGTTTAAAATGGTTGGCTTAAATTATATTCTAAACCCATAGACAAGGTAGAAATAATTTTCCAATATTTTAATTAATAAAAATAGCCAAATTCATTAACTAGTTAAACTCTTTATTTTAGCAATTGAATTTATCTCTCATAGACAAGATGTAAATCCCTTTCATTAAATTATCCTATTTCTAGGCCTTATTAATGTGCTCAAATATGGTTGGCTTAAATTAATTTCTAATCTCATAGACAAGTTAGAATTAATTTTCCAAGAATTTAATTAATGAAAATGGCTAACTATTATTAATTACTATTTCATCATTTTAAACAACTAGTCCAATTTATTAATTTTAACCCCTAATTTTAGGTAAACAAGTCAATCCATATTCCTTTACTCAATTCATGCCCTAACAAATTTAGCTACTCATTATCATTTTTACAATTAACGATATAATGATTAAATTCAACATTAACAAGGAATTAAACATGTATGATAGCAAAAATTAAACAAAAATTATATTCTGGAACAATAAACTTGTAGGAACTAAAATACAACTTTCTGGAATTTTTTACGAATTTTTGAAACTAAAATCCAATTTTAACAACTAATTGATAACTTTCCCAATTTTAACTAGAAAATACAAAAAGCAACTAAAAATATGCTAACTTCGTTATAAATTTTATTTTTAGCTACTGGGAGGTATATAACTGTGAATAAACTGTAATCAGGTCCGAACTAATTTTTTTTCCTTTTTTAGTATTTATTTTGATTTAAGCAATAATATAAGGTAATTACCGAAATTAATAAAAAATACTCTAAATTCGTACCAAATTTTATATTAACTACTAGTAATGATATTTAAGTTAACTAAACTGTAAATAGGGCCGAACTCATTTTTTTCCTTTTTTTTTCTAGTATTTATTCTAAATTATGAACTAATATCAAATAATTACCAAAATTAATTAAAAATTACTTCTGGTTCGTGAAAAATTAATTTCTTCAGATAAATAACTACCTTGAGGCTAGTGAACAACTATATAATTAATTGGAATGATTTCAACAACAATAACTATTTTATTTAATTTTTGGAAGGAAATGCGAAATACTTGAAAAATAATCTGGAAATTTTCGAAGAACAGATCGAAGAAACAAAGCACAGATTCAGATTCTACACATTGAGAAGATGAAAATACATATAAAGAACTTACAATTTGGAGCTAAAATGAAGAAGATATGAAGATTTGAAGTTTCTCTCTCTCTAAGACCTTTGGAGCTCGAAAATGGAGGAAGAAAGAAGGTGTTTTGAACTGATTTAGAGTTGGAGGAGGTGTGTTTGAATTCAGCAAAAATCGGGCAATTTATAGGAACTTTTTCTCCGTAGGCGGCCATCCAGGCGGCCGCCTTCCACCTCTCTTCGGCCGCCTTCCGTCTAATCGCCGGCAGCGGATCGTGGCCGATCCCGTCAGCCGTAGGCGGCCACAGAGGGCGGCCGCCTTCCGTCACACATTGGCCGCCTGCCGTCTTTTCATGGTCAAATCGGATCGTGGCGGATCCCGGCCGCCGCAGGCGGTCCAGCAGGCGGCCGCCTGCCGTTCCTGTCTGGCCCCCTGCCGTCAAATCCCACCGGCCGGCGGTTGCTTCGTCGTCTTCTGCCGCAGGCGGTCACCGTAGGCGGCCGCCTTCCGCCCAGTGTCGGCGGCCTACGGTCTTTTCCGAATCCGGTCAAAGTCAAAGTTTGACTTTCCAAAAATACCGTAGGCGGCCGCGAAGGCCTTCATTTTGGCCGCCTGCCCGGCCGCCTGTGAGATTATTTGTCCGGCTTGTTCCTTATTTTGTGCTCTTCAATATTGTCTTCTGGACCACTTTGAAATAATGTCTCCTTCTTTCGGTATGATATCATTTGTTGCTCAAATTGGCCCATTTTGTGCTCAATTGACCCGAAATTCCGACAAACATACGATGAATGTGGTTTTCACCTGATTTCATGAAACTTGAACCAAAATATCTAAAACATGCCTTTTCTTTCTATTTTCAATCAAAAATCGCTTAAATTTGATAAGAAAAATAAGTACAAAAATGGACTTATCAATCTCCTCACACTTAAGCGTTGCTTGTCCTCAAGCGACGAATTAGTTGGAAACACACTCAAAAAGGGAAAACATGACTATATCACAATCGAATTGCTATTAAAGAAGTAGAAACAAAAACCTCTCTTTTATTCTCAATTTTTTTTTTATTTTAGAAAAATCACCCAAGATATATGAATTTACTATTATTATTACTAAAGAAAACTATTGATTATGTTAAACCACCGATCAATTCCTTATCCCAAGGTTTTCATTATTCTAATTTGGACATTCATCTTGTTCACCATTTTTTTTTTGCTCTTTTTCACTCTTGTTGGCGGTGTTATCCCATGGTAAATGCATATTTCATTCTCACAGACTGTGATTAACGAATGAAACAGAGCCCCTTTTCGGAGATGGAATTGTCCTATAACAATGAGTTTTGAAGAGGTTTATTAATAGTAACAATTTTTTTTTAATGAAAAAAAATGAATGTCCAATTAAAACAAATTCGGCCCTTTTCATTCGCAACCAAAAACCCATAACAAATTTAAGTTTTCTAAAAATAATAATAAAAGTGAATTCTTATAATAAGGGTGATTATCTAAACTATTTTGTGATTGATAACAAATTGAGAAATTAATGTTTCATATCAAAATAGAAAAAAGATTGTTCTAAAACAAGGTTTTAACTTTTGAGTGTAAAACGCAACCTCCTCACACTTGAGCTAGACCTCGCCCTCGAGGTCTTCTTTTGAGGCATAAAATTGGCAAATAAAGGCGCATTTTTTTTTTTTGGTTCTTTCCTCACACTTAAGATTTGAAAAGATTTTGTGAAGAGGAATAATGAAACAGGAGAAAAAATGGTTTTAAAAATCCTTACATCATCCATAGTCAGTTTGTAAGAGCATTCAAGTCAAAAGAGCAGCGCAATGTCCAACCTGAAGAACAAACAAACATGATAAAAATGTTAAGGAAGAAGCAAATCTAAACATCGCCTGCGCCATCCTGGGGGCCATAGTGTGGCCTAAGCCAATCTCTCATCTCATCAATATCTAGCCTCTGGGTCTCTAGCTCCGCCTGCATATCCCGGGTGGCTCTCTCCTGAGCTAATCGAAAGTCTCTGAACTCTCCTAGGGCCGTCTCATGCGCATCTCGCATCTCCTGGAATCCTCTGTCCTGTGCAACCCGCATCTCTGAGACTGAGGTCTGTAGACTCCTCATCCCATCCATCATCGCTCTCCAATCTGCGGCGCTAGGCATGTATGAAAAGGGCTCGCTAGATCCCTCATGTCCTGAGGGTCGAGAAGAACTACTCTGCTGGGTCGGCTGCTCAATACCTGGGAGCTCCTGAGTGTTCCGCTTCTTCTTGATCCTCATGTTGGTAAAGGATGAGGATCGAAGAACGCGGATGCTATCCTGTAAGTGCACTAGTCCTGGAATGTCTAGATCTGGGTAGAATGATCTAACGAGAGTAGTGATGAAAGGCCCTGTCTGGATAGTGCGCCGCACAGTCTTCCCCTGACTCCGGAAGAAACGAGCCATAAGGACAGCCATATTCACCGGGATGCGGTGAATCAAACTCCAAAAGAATAGTATGTCCTTTTTGGACAACCTGTTTGTGTTGTTAGGTCGTCCAAAAAAACCACAAGAAAGTACGAACGAGAGTATGTACCAGTGAGTCTCCCTCCATTTGTTCGAATGGGGGTGCATCCGGAGAAATGATCTGGTGTCTGTGGAGTGTCTGTGCCAGAACTCATCAATGTCAAATGCCTCGGGTAAGCGGGTCGGAAGAGCACGGAACTCCTCAGTCTGTGTGTATGCTGGGGTATAGAGCCCCATCCTCCATCCGAGCTCAGCCACAGTGATGGAGTGCTCCATTCCTAGAATAGTAAACCTCATCCGAGACTCTGACCCAATAACAGCACCCTCCTGCACAGCCTGTCTGTAATGAGTGAACTGAACGGAGCACAGAAACTCCATCGTCAATGGAAGGCTGGCCCTCTCCTGAACGAATAGAATCCTCCGCCATAAAGAGTCTCCTAGCAGGGCATCAATGTCATCCCAGTACCCCCATTCCTCTAGCATCGTCGGGTCCAGGATCATGGGAGGAAGGAGTGTGCGGTATTGCCCCCATGCCTGGAAGCGTCTGCGATCAGCAATAGTAGCAAAGGGGATATCAGGCTGTGGCGGCGGGTCTTCCCGTCCTAGTGGTGGCTCCTCGAAAATGGGATCATCACGTCTTCCTCCAGATATCTGCAAGAAATAAACAAAGTAAAATATTTTTGGGTTAGTTTTTTTTTTTTTTTTTTTTTGGTTGGGTTGCCTCCCAATGAGCGCTTCTTTAACGTCACTAGCTTGACGAATGTCCTCCTTCGGTTCAAAATTTTTGGAGATAGAGAATCTCCTTGCTTTTTTCAATTGGGCCGCCATGGTAGAGTTTAAGTTGGTGGCCGTTGACTTTAAAGGGACCCCCATTAGCATCTTCAATCTCAACGGTTCCGTAGGGGTAAGCTTTTATGACCTTGAACGGTCCGGACCATCTTGACTTAAGCTTTCCTGGAAAAAGCTTTAACCGTGAGTTGAATAATAACACTTTATCTCCAGCATTGAAATCACGAGCCTTGATGTGTTGATCATGGTAGAGTTTGGCCCGTTCCTTGTAAAGTTTGGAATTATGAAAAGCTTGCGCTCTCCACTCTTCCAGTTCATTCAGCTGGTAAAATCGTTCCTTCCCTGCAGTATCCAGTTTAAAACAGACATTTTTCATCGCCCAAAGTGCTTTATGCTCGAGTTCGACGGGTAAGTGGCAAGACTTCCCGTATACAAGGCGAAAAGGTGTGGTTCCGATCGGGGTTTTGTAAGCAGTCCGAAATGCACAAAGAGCGTCGTCAAGTTTAGTCGACCAGTCTTTCCTGGTCTGGGCAACAGTTTTCTCCAGAATGGACTTCAAATCCCTGTTAGCGTTCTCCACTTGTCCTTGAGTCTGGGGGTGGTACGCTACTCCGCTTCGATGTTGGACTCCATATTTGGCCAAAATTCTAGCCATTGGGTCATTGTGGAAATGAGTCCCTCTATCGCTGATCAAAACCCTGGGCACACCAAATCTGGTAAAGAGCTTTTTCAGAAAATTCACGACTACTCGAGAGTCGTTGGTGACACAGGCCTGGGCTTCGACCCATTTAGAAACATAATCAATGGCCACAAGAATGTATTTGTTTCCTCTTGAGCTTGGGAAAGGTCCAACAAAGTCGATGCCCCAAACATCAAATACCTCACAAGGTAAGATAAAGTGTTGGGGCATCTCATTGCGCCCAGAAATGTTCCCGATTCGTTGACAGTTATCACAAGAGGAAACAAATTCATTAGCATCTTTAAAAATCGTGGGCCAGAAGTACCCACAGTCCAAAACCCGCCTTGCGGTTCTATTCCCTGAAAAGTGGCCCCCAGTAGGACCGCTGTGACAATGCTCCAGAATGTCCTTTGCCTCAGCTTCAGTAACACATCTTCTCACCACCTGGTCAGCACAAATTCGGAATAGATATGGATCATCCCAAAAATAGTGCTTTGCTTCTGATAGGAACCGCCTTTTCATGTGCTGATGGAGTATATGGCCCAGGAACCCCCGGCCCATAGACTCCTACTTCTCCTACACAAGTTCATTGAGCCCAGGGAACAACTCAGGCCCAAAATGCAGCGGCCCAAGCCTCGACGTGGCCCAGAATACGCACTGGGGTGCCTTCGGCCTCCTTGGCCGGAGGCCCCAAACCTCACAGGGTAGCCTTCTCTGGCATAAGAGGCTACTGGGAGAAAACGGCGAAAAACATGAGCCTTCGGTTCTATCGAGCCCTCGGCATCAGAGGAGCCCCCGGCTAAACCATGCCTCCGGTCACACAGGGCCTTCGGCTACACAGGGATCCTTGGCTACATGGAGCCCTCGGCAACACAAGGAGCCCTCGGCCAAGCACACTCAATCATCGGAGATTCCTTTTAGAGACAGCCAACCACCGCATTTAAAGCCACGTCGCATCCGCCAACCGCATTTAATGCGGTGAACGTACCACTTCCGGTGCCAACCGGTTGATGTGACCCTTCGGCCGTTGGATTACTGACACGTGTCCTCTCATCGCATTTATTGCTGCTATAAATAGCAGCCCATTTCTCCTTGTAAATCATCATCTACATCTCAACTCCGCACGCTGAGTTCATTTAATAAAATCGACTCTCTCTCCTCCTATTTACTCTGACTTCTCTCTAGTTATTCCCGCAATAACCCCTCGGATAAGATACCCCCCGGGTAGACTATCCATCATGTGCCTTGTCAGTTCGGTAGGCTCGACTTTACCAACAAGGTAGTTGGCAATGTCGGCATACCACGGTGTTTGCTCCTTGGCGGAAATCGCCATCAATCTCTCAGCAGGAAAAAGCTCCTCAATTTCGCATTTTCCGAAAGTTTCTGCTAACTCGGCATCTAACCTCGAGAGGTGATCAGCTGCCTGATTAGCAGACCCTTTTCGGTCCCTGATTTCAATATCAAATTCCTGCAACAAAAGAACCCAGCGTAACAGTCTAGGCTTAGCATCATGCTTTTGGAGGAGATATCTAATGGCCGAATGGTCGGTATAGATAATAACCTTCGAAAGAATGATGTAAGTCCTAAACTTCTCTAAAGCACAAACAATAGCAAGGAATTCTTTTTCAGTGGTAGTGTAGTTGAGTTGTGGCCCTGACAGAGTTTTGCTAGCGTAGTAGATTGGGTGGAAGTTCTTGTCCTTCCTTTGACCAAGGATGGCCCCCACTACTAAGTCATTAGCGTCACACATGAGTTCAAAGGGTAAACTCCAATCCGGGGCCACAAGCACAGGAGCATTGATCAGTTGTGTTTTAAGTGCTTGGAAAGCATGGTGACATTCATCAGAGAATATAAAAACCGCATCTTTTTCAAGTAACCGGGTGAGAGGTTTTGCGATTTTAGAGAAATCCTTTATAAAACGACGATAAAAGCCCGCGTGTCCTAAGAAGCTGCGGATGGCTTTTACCGTGGTTGGTGGAGGAAGTTTCTCTATCGTCTCAATTTTTGCACGGTCCACCTCTACCCCGTTACTTGACACCTTGTGTCCAAGTACTATACCCTCTTTCACAAGGAAATGACATTTCTCCCAACTTAGGGCTAAATGGGTTTCCTTGCAGCGGATAAGTACTTTTTCCAGGTTTTCAAGGCATTTTTCAAACGTTTCCCCAAAAATAGAGAAGTCATCCATGAATACCTCCATGAAGTGGCCAATGTATTTTTCAAAAATGGCAATCATGCACCTCATGAAGGTGGCAGGAGCATTACAGAGACCGAAAGACATCCTACGAAAAGCAAAGGTCCCAAAAGGGCATGTAAACGTAGTTTTGTCTTGGTCTTCCGGGTTGACATGGATTTGGAAGTATCCACTCATGCCATCCAGGAAACAGTAGTGACTATGGCCTGCCAACCTCTCTATTAATTGATCGATGAAGGGAAGGGGAAAATGGTCTTTCCGGGTGGCTTCGTTCAGTTTGCGGTAATCGATTACCATTCGCCACCCGGTAACAGTTCGACTGGGTAGAAGTTCGCCCTTTTCATTTTTCATGACGGTCATTCCCCCCTTTTTGGGGACAACATGAATTGGGCTTACCCACTGGCTATCAGAGATGGGGTAAATGATACCCGCATCCAGCAGTTTGACAATCTCGGCACGCACTACTTCCATCATGTTTGGGTTTAAACGTCGTTGTGGTTGGACAACTGGTTTAAACCCTTCCTCAATCTTGATGGTGTGGGTACAAAAGGCGGGGCTTATTCCATTGATGTCCTCAAGTTTCCAAGCAATTGCTTGCTTGTGTGTCTTAAGGACTCCAAGTAATTTCTCCCTTTGTTCCTCACTTAAGTGTGCGGCGATGACGACGGGGCATTTGCCTTCGTCATCCAAGAATGCATATTCTAAGTGGTCGGGCAGTTTCTTTAGTTCGAGGGGGTGGTCGTTTTTCAAGTTTTGTTCATTTTTCTCCCCCTCAAACTCAATCAATACTTCGTTAGAAGCTTGATCAATCAGCGCATCCTCACAACTCTCACATGCATCACTCACATCACTGTTGGCTTCTTTTAACAGACATGCTTCATCAGTTACATGTCCATTTTCTTCCCCAAACAGATACCCTTCAATAGACTCAAAGGTATCAAGAAAATGACATCCTTGAAAGGAATCTGTGGGGTGTTTCATAACATCTGAGAGTCGGAAGGTGCATAGATCATCTCCGACTCTTAGAGTTAATGAGCCATCAGTGACATCAATCAAGGCCCTGGCGGTAGCCAGAAAGGGCCTTCCCAGAATAAGAGGTGTTTCCCTATCCTCTTCCATGTCCATTACTACAAAGTCGACTGGGAAAATGAATTTGTCAACCTTGACCAAGACGTCTTCAACAATTCCTTTCGGATATTTGACTGAGCGATCAGCCAGTTGAAGACACATCCTGGTGGGTTTCATTTCCCCAAGTCCTAGCTTCTCGACTATAGAGGAAGGCATCAGATTGATACTTGCCCCTAAGTCAGCTAGAGCATTATTGAAGTTGAAATTGTCTATAGAGCAAGGGATAGTGAAACTACCTGGATCCTTTAGCTTTTCGGGTATTGACCTCAGAACCACGGCCGAGCATTCTGCGTTCAAGTCCACGACTGAGAGCTCCTGCAGCTGCCTTTTGTTTGTCAGCAAGTCTTTGAAAAACTTGGCATATTTGGGCATCTCCGCTAAGGCATCCATCAGCGGCAGGTTGACGTGGAGTTGTTTGAGTAGGTCCAGGAATTTGTTGTACTTCCTGCTATCGTCATCATTTCTAACCCGTGAAGGAAACGGGAGAGAAGGTTTGACGATAGTGACCTTTGTGTTAGGGCGTGTTGGTTCCATGCTCTTCTCTGTTTGCTCAGGTTCTATGATCAGAGTATCATCTTTGTCTTTCTGCTCGACTTCTTTCATCTGTCTCCCACTTCGGAGAGTGATAGCTTGCACATGTTCACGGGGATTTGGTTCCGTGGTGCTAGGCAAGCTGCCTGGCTGGCGACCGGCCACATTGTTCTGAGTAATTTGCATCATCAGATTTTTGATCTGATTGTCAGTGCTGGCCTTGTATCTTGACATTTCCTCCCGTGTCCTTGCCAGTTCTGCAACCAGCAGGCCTATCTCTGATGGTTGGGCAGCCTCCGTTTGTCGTTGATGTGGAGGCACATAAGCCTGGTTGTTCTGTTGGGCTGGTGCACCTCCCTGGTTACGACCTTGGAAGTTGTTGCCTTGATTGTTGTTGGAGTAGTTTTGATTACCTTGATAACCGCCGCGAGGAGGACCATTGTTGTAATCCCCCCACCATTGGTTACCTTGGTAATTCCTTCCCTGGAAATTCTGAGGAGGGTAGTTGGAGTTACCCCCCCTGTTGCTTTGATTCGCTCATGGCCCTTCTTGTTTTGTTCGGCCATACTCCAGCAGGTTCACCTCCCTGTTGTTGCTTACATTACATTCATCGACTAATTGACACGAGTTGGTCAAATGTGGACCAAAACATATCTCACATGAGAGTACAAGTTCAGTTGAATGAGAAACAAGTGAAAAAGTATTAAATTGAGATGACTGTGGAGCAGAGCTTGAGTTCCCGAAGTATCGGGATGATTGTTGATTCGGGACAGCACCGATGTTGTTGACTTGGTTGGTGTGATTGTTTTCATTCTTCAGATTCTTTACTTCCACGACCAACCCTTCAATCTTTGCTGTTAAGGCCGTGAGTTGGTCAACTTCAAGATAGCCTGGTTTTGTTGCTGCTGGAGTTCTTTCGTCATACCAGTATCTTGCATTTGAAGTGACCTTCTCCACCAGAGCTTCGTTGGTGTTGGGTGCCATGTCAAGGAATGATCCCACCTGAGAAGAGAAATCAAGTTCTTTTTTGCTACTAACTTGAAGTCCATTGTAAAAATGGAACATCAAGCTACTAGAATCCATCAGTGTGAGTGGACATTTGTTTCTCATATCCTTGAAACGATCCCATGCTTCACTTAAGGACTCCATCGGGAATTGCCTAAAGTTCTGGATTGCTGTTTTAATTTTAGCAACTGCCGATGGAGGAAAGTATTCTTGCATGAATGCTTGGTGCAGTGCCGCCCATGTTGTGAAGTGACCCGTTGGAAAGCTATTCAGCCACAAAGATGCCATATCCCGTAATGAGAAGGGAAATAAGGTCAACTTTGCGGCGTCGGAGGTTACTCCGTTAAAGCGGAACGTTTGGCATGCTCGGGTGAACCACAACATGTGGGCCCTAGGGTCATCTTGCTTGGACCCGCCGAATTGATGATTGGACATCATGTTGACAATGGCGGGTTTGATTTCGAAATTGGCTGCCTCGATTGCCGGTGCGCTGATACTATCATCCTCGATGAAGTTCGGCGTAAGATTTTGCAACACCGTCTTTTCTCCCGCCATGCTTGGTTTCTTGTGGATTGAAAGATTTTTCCACAAAGTTCGTTCAGGTTCAGGATCAAGTTCAATTAGACCTTCCACTCCTTTAGAGCGGGTGTGCATTCATTTATCCTGAAATCTTTATACAAATTGTCGCAAGGGCGAAAAAGTCTCCCTAACTAGAATTCACCTATGCTAGAATTAAATCAAGAAATAATCGTGCCATTCCCCGGCAACGGCGCCATTTTATAACCGCTTTCGCGGCGTTGTAGTAAAACGGAGTCTAACCTTTCGGTTTTTCCCCGAGTGTCGTGTCTCTTGAGGAATGGCGGAGAAGTTTCTTAATTTAATTTTAGTCACGGGCTATCGCTAATCGTTGGAAGCCTTTTCAATATAGGAAAGTGTTTTTGTTCTTTATTATGCTAAATTATAACTAGGAGCAAGGTGCAATTTAAAGATTAATGTATAAAGACTGATTATTCAAGGATGCAAATAAGGGCAATGAATTGAGTAATTAGAAATGGATATGTTCTTGGACCTCTTAATTAGGGAAATTAAGACTAAAGTTGGACTAATAATTTCTTTCCTCATAGACAAGAATAGAAACTATCTTCATTAATTTATCCTACTTCTAGGTATCATTAATGTGTTTAAAATGGTTGGCTTAAATTATATTCTAAACCCATAGACAAGGTAGAAATAATTTTCCAATATTTTAATTAATAAAAATAGCCAAATTCATTAACTAGTTAAACTCTTTATTTTAGCAATTGAATTTATCTCTCATAGACAAGATGTAAATCCCTTTCATTAAATTATCCTATTTCTAGGCCTTATTAATGTGCTCAAATATGGTTGGCTTAAATTAATTTCTAATCTCATAGACAAGTTAGAATTAATTTTCCAAGAATTTAATTAATGAAAATGGCTAACTATTATTAATTACTATTTCATCATTTTAAACAACTAGTCCAATTTATTAATTTTAACCCCTAATTTTAGGTAAACAAGTCAATCCATATTCCTTTACTCAATTCATGCCCTAACAAATTTAGCTACTCATTATCATTTTTACAATTAACGATATAATGATTAAATTCAACATTAACAAGGAATTAAACATGTATGATAGCAAAAATTAAACAAAAATTATATTCTGGAACAATAAACTTGTAGGAACTAAAATACAACTTTCTGGAATTTTTTACGAATTTTTGAAACTAAAATCCAATTTTAACAACTAATTGATAACTTTCCCAATTTTAACTAGAAAATACAAAAAGCAACTAAAAATATGCTAACTTCGTTATAAATTTTATTTTTAGCTACTGGGAGGTATATAACTGTGAATAAACTGTAATCAGGTCCGAACTAATTTTTTTTTCCTTTTTTAGTATTTATTTTGATTTAAGCAATAATATAAGGTAATTACCGAAATTAATAAAAAATACTCTAAATTCGTACCAAATTTTATATTAACTACTAATAATGATATTTAAGTTAACTAAACTGTAAATAGGGCCGAACTCATTTTTTTCCTTTTTTTTCTAGTATTTATTCTAAATTATGAACTAATATCAAATAATTACCAAAATTAATTAAAAATTACTTCTGGTTCGTGAAAAATTAATTTCGTCAGATAAATAACTACCTTGAGGCTAGTGAACAACTATATAATTAATTGGAATGATTTCAACAACAATAACTATTTTATTTAATTTTTGGAAGGAAATGCGAAATACTTGAAAAATAATCTGGAAATTTTCGAAGAACAGATCGAAGAAACAAAGCACAGATTCAGATTCTACACATTGAGAAGATGAAAATACATATAAAGAACTTACAATTTGGAGCTAAAATGAAGAAGATATGAAGATTTGAAGTTTCTCTCTCTCTAAGACCTTTGGAGCTCGAAAATGGAGGAAGAAAGAAGGTGTTTTGAACTGATTTAGGGTTGGAGGAGGTGTGTTTGAGTTCAGCAAAAATCGGGCAATTTATAGGAACTTTTTCTCCGTAGGCGGCCATCCAGGCGGCCGCCTTCCACCTCTCTTCGGCCGCCTTCCGTCTAATCGCCGGCAGCGGATCGTGGCCGATCCCGTCAGCCGTAGGCGGCCACAGAGGGCGGCCGCCTTCCGTCACACATTGGCCGCCTGCCGTCTTTTCATGGTCAAATCGGATCGTGGCGGATCCCGGCCGCCGCAGGCGGTCCAGCAGGCGGCCGCCTGCCGTTCCTGTCTGGCCGCCTGCCGTCAAATCCCACCGGCCGGCGGTTGCTTCGTCGTCTTCTGCCGCAGGCGGTCACCGTAGGCGGCCGCCTTCCGCCCAGTGTCGGCGGCCTACGGTCTTTTCCGAATCCGGTCAAAGTCAAAGTTTGACTTTCCAAAAATACCGTAGGCGGCCGCGAAGGCCTTCATTTTGGCCGCCTGCCCGGCCGCCTGTGAGATTATTTGTCCGGCTTGTTCCTTATTTTGTGCTCTTCAATATTGTCTTCTGGACCACTTTGAAATAATGTCTCCTTCTTTCGGTATGATATCATTTGTTGCTCAAATTGGCTCATTTTGTGCTCAATTGACCCGAAATTCCGACAAACATACGATGAATGTGGTTTTCACCTGATTTCATGAAACTTGAACCAAAATATCTAAAACATGCCTTTTCTTTCTATTTTCAATCAAAAATCGCTTAAATTTGATAAGAAAAATAAGTACAAAAATGGACTTATCAATACCCGAGTGGATAGCAAAACCCATGATCTCGTGATTATCATCACGATCTTTATTTTCTGTTATGCCTCGCACCCTCTCTTCTTGAGATATTTGTTGAAAAGCCCGATTAAGAGTAGGGAGCGGGGTTTGGGAAAGCAGTTGAGAACGGATTTGGCCATAAAAATCCGAAGATAATCCCATTAAAAATTGATGAAAACGCTCCGATTCTCTACGTTGTTCATGTAAGGTATTAATCTTACACGTACATTTACCGCAAGAACAACTTATCAATGGTTCATAATTATTTAGCTCATCCCACAAAACTTTAAGCTTTCCATAGTAGTTGCCTACGGATTGCGTTTTTGATTGTTCACATCTTGCAATATCAGTTTTAACTTGATAAATTTTTGGACCATCAATCACTGAGAAACGTTCCTTTAAATCATTCCACAGCAATTTGGCATCATCAAATTTAGATAAAGTAAGTTTTACCTCCGGTAATATAGTATTCAAAATCCAAGAGACCAACATAGAATGTATAGTCAACCAATCTTCCTCCGTACATGGAGGTTCCGGCTTATTGATCACCCCATTGACGAAGCTAAACTTTCGCCTAGCGCGTAGTGCTAGTCGAATCGAACTCGACCAATCATCATAATTGTCTCCACTCAAACGAACCGGGGTGATAAAATCACCGGATCTATCTTGAGGTCCCAAGAAATAGGGGGACGTATAGTCTATTTTGCTAGAAGAAGCATTTTCCTCCCCACTTGCCATGGAAGAAGGAAGGGTGTTTTATTTATGAGAAAAGATATATATTTGTTGCTCTGATACCATGTTGATACAAGGAATCAGTGGAGAAAGGATACTTGCATGCTTTATTAATGATACGAAGGTCTTGTATTTATAATACAAGGGAATGGCAAAGCTAATAATAGAGTAGCTAATAATAGAGTAGCAATTGGGTATGACCCATAATTAATAATACAGAATACAAATAATAATATAATAACCAGCTAATACAAACCAAAATAATTCAAAATATAAGACGGTTAGTTATTTTTTGTCGTACAAGACTTAAATTGAGATCAACATGAATCCAATTAGAACAACTAATGTACTCGTTTACAAAAAAAAACTAATGCATTTGAGAGAAAAAAAGCAAAAATAAATCATCATCTTCGAATGAACGGCTCGAATCACAAACTATTGAAATGGCAACCATAAATCAAAAGTGACCAACTTACTTCTATTCTAACAATGCTTGCCTACAACCTATAGAAGAGATGTAATTGATCGATATCAGTATACATGATACACGTGTCTACGATTACAATGCAAATGGATAAGTGTGACTAACAAACTCCCTAAACCTGTGGAGTACTCTACGTATTCAAGTATGGATAAGCATTAGCTAATACACTAATTAATATAATAATTAGCTAATTACGTATTACTACGCCCCGCAAGATGGAGGTTCCGTCGGAAACTCCCATCTTGGATCTAAACTTGTCAAAAAGAGTCTTGCCCAGAGGTTTCGTCAGAATAGCTGCAATTTGATACTTCCGTCGTCCCGCTATGATTGTCCCATTTTACTTTTTTGGGAAGTCCCACTAAGATAGTCTCATACCAAATTTGATAAAGTTTGTGTGGCTCTAAATCATTCTTATTATTTTTACTTTTTCAATTCAATATCAACCACATAAAGTCACTTTTCTTAATAATCGTGTCACCTTCTTCCGTCCCAATGTTAGTGGGATGGCGATAGTACTTATTAGAGATGTGTCGAACGCACAGTGGCGTACCCAGAAAAACAAAGTCATGGGGTCCCTACTCTAATGTTTTTTAATTAATACGGAGTATAAAATTAATAAAATAAAGTCAAATATTAAAGAAGTACAACGCTTCTTAGTTAACGTACATGATCAAAACATTAAGATAGTGTAAAGAAACATTACCAGCCCGTTTGGTGACTCTGTTTTTTGACTAATCGGGCTCATCATCCAATTTTTTTTTACCAAACATGTAAATTTTGATTTCACGCGCTGACTTGTGTAATTATAGGAAAAAATAAGTTCGAAGTTACTTTTCAGCCTGTATTGACTGAAGTTACTATAGGTGATCATTTTAACCGTTTATATTGTTGATTTATATATATATATATATATAAATCAACAATATAAAATCTATATATATAGGTACTCATACTTATAAAATATATAGGTGCTCATACTTATAAAATATATTTTAATTATATTTTTTCGTAAATCAACAAAATCAAACAATTCGACCAGAACTTCATAAATTTCAATGTAAAAGCTAATAAAATCGATTTGAGTATTGCCAAACGGGCTCTACATATACAATGCATTCTACAAAGATTTATTGATTTATCTTAACAAGGCAAAATGACCAACTAAACTGTCTGCGCTTCTTTGTTATGAAGCAGCAGTTTATGCCATTTTTGACGCAATTTCACTATGGGTCATCCGGGAACAGGCTCTCTGTACTTTAGTACAGGTGTAAGGCTGCGTACATCCGACCCCCCTCTTACCCGTCGTAGGTGGGAGCCTTTGCATTATTGGGGTAATGATGAAGAAGATCTTAACATTAAAAAAAAAATTAGTAATTAATCTAAAGACTGGAGACTGGATGCGATTGGTCTAAAACGGGAGTGGCAGATAGCGAGGATTGATGCTGACATGCTGGAGTCAATATGCGGTTGCATAGGTATTGAAAACTATGTAGTATGAAAGAAAGTTGCCATTTGGGGATTTTTTAAAAAAAGGGTGGCGGAGGAAGGTATCAAACCTGGTACATCCTGGTAAAGGAAAACGTAACGTCGACTCGTCGAGCATTCAACCGCTCCTCTATGCCGGTCAGTTGGGTGTTTACTAGCTTTCCTTTTATATATATACATATATTAATTAATTTTGTATAAAATATATACAATATATAGGAGATTGCGAACGCATAACTGCGAACGCATAATTGACCACTTTCAACCAAATCACGAACAAAGTTTAAATCAAGGGCCAGATGCTTCATGCGAGATAGAAAGATTGGATTTATAGAAAGACACGTTGCACCTTGATTGCCACAGAATAAATTGGGTGTATCGGTCAACTTGATATTTAGTTCAGATACAAGATTATGTATCCATAATCATTCTGCACTAGCATGAGCAACCGCACGGCATTCGGCCTCGGTGGATGATCCGGAAACGATATTTTGTTTTGCTGATTTCCAAGAGATAATGTTGGAGCCCAGATATAAGACATATGCCGTGGTAGACTTACCACCATCATGAACCCCTCCCTAGTCGGAATCCGAAAATGCTGTTAACGTAAGGGGTGTAGAGTGGTGGAGAAATATGCCATAGTTTAGTGTGCCTTTTAGATGACGAAGGACACGTTTCACGCCTTGCCAGCTGTGAACATCTGTAGGTGCATGCATGAATTGAGATAACTGATTTACCGCAAATGAAATGTCCAAATGAGTGAATGCAATATATTGAAGAATGAGGAAAAGCACATAGGGGTGCTCGACACTTTTGCTCCCTCCATATGCAGGGGCGGAACTACATAGGAGCTTGGGGGTGCTTGTGCCCCTGCATCTTTTTGTTTTTTGTTATATAAGTATATGTATATATAAATATATTAATATATATATATAGGGTAAGGTTCATGTGAGAACACTCTCTTAGGAGAGAAATGAGAACAAATCTTGATCATTTAAAATCCCAAATCAATGGTATTAAATCATTAAGTGAAACGGTGGCAAAAATGCAAATATGCACAACTTCAAACCACTAACGGAGAGGTTATCACGTTAGCATTGAATAATTAATGCGCCGTTAATATCAATTATACGTTTAGATGCTTTCAATGAAACCACTTAAGTCGAATATGGAACTTAAGTTCATAAGTTTAGAGAAGTCTACCCACGTGTCATTTTCAATATAGATATGCTTGTTCATATTATTATCCACCATATTTTATTAATGCTAAAATTTTCTATTTAGTTTGTTTTATTCTTTTCCAAATTTTTAGTGCACTTATATTATCTTTATAGTGCAACCTTAAAAGTGTACTCTACATTTATAAAGTCGAATAAACTTATAATTAGTTAGGCGATGGTTTTGGTGGGATTTCTCACGTGATATATGAGAATGAACTAAAACGTACGGTGCACATCCTAGTTAATGATGTTGCACATATATGATAAACATAATGCATAATTTAAAGTGGTATAACAATTTAATTAATTTAAAAATGTAGCGGCACTTTGTGATTCATGACAAGCACATTAATATTACAAATCATGCATAGTTGTTACGATCAGATTCATTTTCTTTCCTCTTTTAGGATATGATTTTGATAGGAAGAGTTACGGTTTCTCACATGATAATGAGAATGACCTAAAACGAAGCACATTTTGATTAACGATGTTGCACATTTATGATAAACATAATGCACACATTAAAGTTTTATAGCAATTTAATTTATTTGAAAATGTAGTTGCATTTTTGTTAACGATCAGATTCATTCTCATTTTTCTTTTAGGATATGATTTTGTACATGAGAACGACCTAAAATGATGCACATCTAGTCTGCATTAATGATGTTGCATATTTATGTTTAAGATAATGCACAATTCAAAGTAGTATAACAATTTATATTATTTAAAAAATGTAGCTGCACTTTGTGATTCGCACATTTTTGTTTCACATTGTGCAATTACGTACTCAAAAGTAAATATGCACCTTTAGTAACATTATTGTGCACTTATATACAAATGTGCGGAATTTGGCACACTTATTCTTATTTCTTAAAAAGAATAACAACATTCTTGTGTATTGTTATTCTTACAAGAATTTTTCACACTTTATGCTATAATTTTTTTATATTGAAAGTATATTGTATGATTTAGTTTACTTACCTTCAACAACGTAACATCAATAACAACAATACTACCAAAAGTGCAAACCAAATATTTAACAATGCACATCCATACAACCAAAAGTGCACACCAAGTATATTTAAAGAACCATTTGAATCTATAACCTAAATAAAGAATTGTGAATAAAAATGTGATTTTTTTATACAGTAATTAAGATATACTCATAATACCTTTAATCATAATTTTTGTCTACAAATTATGTCTCAATAATAATTAAGGAAAATCTTTTTTTTTAAATTAAAATTATGCATCCAAAGTTAACATAAAAATCATTGATTTAAGAGTCCTTTAAAAAGCATTGATTTAGGAGTGCATCAAAAAATAGTAATCAAGAGGTTAACTAGCTTCCAAATTTACGAACAGAAAAACGTACCTGAAAAAGAAGTACAAAAAAAATATTAGAAATTACAAATAGAAATTAGTGGATTTACAAAAGATACATATAGTACTAATTTATGGAAAGAGTGACCACTAAATCACTAACAATGTGCGGGCATAGAGTTAAGTAATGATCCCAACGAATTTGACGGTTAATTCTCAAGAAACAACCGTTCCGTTCAATCAAGTTTAATCAAAGGTGGAGATGCATTCTTATTTCTCTCATAAGATGCTATTCTCATTTGATACCTACTCTATATATATATATATATATATATATATATATATATATATATAATCCTGGAAATACAACGTGGGATAAGATCGTCTTCCTGGTTGTGCCAAAAGATAAGCCACGATGTTTGTTTCCCTCTAAGAGTAAGATAGTGTCAAAGATAAATACAATTGTTTGTTACTCTACTGTAAGAGTGTAAGACCTTCATCGTTGGGGTTTTGAATATACACCGCCACACAGGGGTGGAGCCAGACTTTAATATGGGGGGGGGGGGGTATAATCTTTCTTTCTTTCTTTCTTTCTTTCTTTCTTTCTTTCTTTCTTTCTTTCTTTCTTTCTTTCTTTCTTTCTTTCTTTCTTTCTTTCTTTCTTTCTTTCTTTCTTTCTTTCTTTCTTTCTTTCTTTCTTTCTTTCTTTCTTTCTTTCTTTCTTTCTTTCTTTCTTTCTTTCTTTCTTTCTTTCTTTCTTTCTTTCTTTCTTTCTTTCTTTCTTTCTTTCTTTCTTTCTTTCTTTCTTTCTTTCTTTCTTTCTTTCTTTCTTTCTTTCTTTCTTTCTTTCTTTCTTTCTTTCTTCCGGCCACTGTTTCCAGTAAACTTCTCGCCCCCTCTTCTTTCTTCTATCTTCCACACATTGCTCACCGTAAATTTACCCCTTCTTGTTTATTTTTCCCACGAAATTTGAAATTATGGCTTTTGATCTGAGCCACGGGTTAATTGCAGTGTCTTGAGTATCTCCGCATGAAGTAGAAGCGGGGTGCATGCAGGAGGGAGGTGATGAGGTTGGGTGGTTATTGCATGTGTTAGAATATTAAAATTAGTTTGAAGTTTTTTCCCAAATTTATGGAAAACTGAAAAATCCGAGTTGAATTTTTAATTTCAAATGAGCACATTTTTTTTTTAATTTTATTAATAGAAGTTAAATCAAAGTGCAATCATAAATGAGTTTAGCAAGTGAAATTAAAAGGAAAAAATGAAAGAAAGCAGAAGATAAAAAGCACTACAGAAAGGAAAAACTTTATTCGAGCCCTCTAAGTCCTCTAGCAATGGAAACCAAGAGCAATCCAGTACCCTATTAGCGTTGTTACGCTTTTTTCCCGCTCTAGAGGCACCATAAGTGAAACCATCATCTTCCACTTGTTTAGGCTCAAGAAATGCATCTTTTTAAATATGAGATTCTTTGTAGATAGGGTGATCATAGAGTTACTTGTGCTCTAGGATTTGATGTGGTCTTGAACTGCGCAAAAGTTCCTTAAAAGTTTTACGCATGATACATATGGAGTCACTTTCTCTAAATTCAAGTAAAAGAATTTGTCTGTGGTAGAGTGGTACGAGTTCTTTCTTCAAGATAATCTGGTGCATCATCAAAGAGAAAATGTAGACCTACTCCATCATTATCAAGGCGTGTATAAATAATCTTTTAAACTATCTTCCTCAACTTTTGCAATGACATTTATTACCATTCCTTCCTCGACTGTATAGCAAAAAAAATCCCGCAAAAGAAAAAATTCAGGGGAAGAAGAATTTGACAAATAAAACTCTACGACAGCTTCATTTTGTCGTGGCTTTTTTCCAATAGTGTTTGTACCCTTAACACCAATCGGAGAACTAGTTTGAGAAATCAAAACTGCTTGCAAGTCAGTCCAAAAAGGGCCCGAGAGAGAAATATTATTGTCTTAGTTTTCATACTCTAGGATTAATCACATGAACAACCTCATGAAAATTATATTGCTTCATCTTCAATTTTTCCTTAGTGGCGGAGTCCAAAATCTTCCGAAAACATCTTTTTAAAAATGAGATAATCCTATATTGTGCATTTGTGCCACACTTTCGTAATTATAATTGACGCCCCGCCGAAGTTTAACCCTCCTTCCCTCTTTCGATCAAACGATAGTAGCAACCACCAACCACCAAATCTGTTCTGCTCATAACAAATTCTATAGGATTTAGAGAAAAGGGACACACGTCATTCTTAAGGGCGTCCCTCAACATCGATTAGACAGTTAACTCGGAGGATGAAAATTGAACATTAATAAAAAAAATGGCAGATTGCGAGTGGAGATCTGACTTAGGTACTTATAAAAGCTCTATGCACTTTTACATAGTAACCATTGTAGTATTTGAACATGAGACTTGCCCTTGTGATCTCCTATCTATAAATTGAGCTACACCCTAGGGCTGGGACTTTGGAACCAAGAACCGGAGAACCGAACCGGATCGAACCGTTATGACCCCGGTTCGGTTCGGTTCCAACATTTATTAGTTATTTTTTAACGGTTCGGTTCCTATTTTTTATTAATGGTTCGGTTTCTCGGTTCCTGAAAAAAATATGTACTAGGAACCGTTAAGGAACCGTTATATATAATAATTAAAATTATATATATTTCTTATGAGTATATATATATTTCTATGTATATTTACTTACTTATTTTTATATTACATTCATTATTTTAGTTTAGTTATTCAACTATTTAAAACTATTATTCACTTCAACCGGTTCTCTTAGGCTTCTTAGGCCTCTCATTAGGTCAGAACTCCAGCGGGTCAGCACTTTGAAGGTCCAAAGTATTTAAAATTATTATTCTATTTAACTGTTTAAGCATATTTGTATCGTAATTTCAAACGTAAAATGTCTTTTGGCAAAAATTTAGTCATGATTTGTAAGAATTTTTTCGAAGACTAGGAACCGTTAAATGACAAGAACCGAACCGTTAAGAACGGTTCGGTTCCTTATCGGTTCTATAAAATAATTTATAAGAACCGAACCGTTAGTAAAATTTCATATTTTCAAACGGTTCCACATATTTGGCCTAGGAACCGAACCGGGTCCCAGGCCTAGCTACACCCAGGAAGGGAGCGGCCCATGCATGTGCACCCAGACCGGGCCCAAAATTTTAGAAGCCCCCCAAAATTAATACTCCCTATACTAGTTTTATACAGCCCAGGGTTCGAAGCTTTGAACTGCAAAGTCTGCGAAGGCAACTGAACGAAGCGCGTGAACGAAGGGAACCACAAGATTGAAGGCTGGAGCTTAACTGCGAAAGGTCGAAGGAAATACAGAACGAGTGCGAAATACAGAAGGGAGAAGACGGGAAGAAAGACCCGCCGACGACCGCCGCTAGTCAGCGCCAGGCCCTCCAGCCTGCCACCACCGCACGTCCACACCACGCAGAAAGGCCCTGCCTGACCGCCTCCGGCCTCCAGGACCACCACCGCACCAGTCCGGCAGTCCACTGTCCACGCTAGGGCCGCTACCCGCACTCCTGCAGTAACCGGTAAGCAAACTAAGCAGATTTTTCTGATTTCTTTGACTTTGATTCTCTGAATTGCAAATTAGTGAATTAATTAGTTCTTTGTTGCCTACTTGTGTGGCCCTTGTTGTGATTTGTTTATTAAGTAATTGAATTGAGAATTTGAATAATTGATACGTAGTATTTGGTAGTAAATTGTGTTGGAACTTGGGAAAAGGCCTAATTTTTGTTGTTGCACAGGCCCCCAAATTTCTCAGGACCGGACCTGGCTAGGCCCACCGACATTTTATGGGGATTTAGAATATTCGTACCTAATAAAACACCAAGATTTATAACCTTTTTCAAACTGCAATAGTGGGTCCCTGAGCATTGAGTTTATTTCCGTTGTACCCCAAAAAAAAGATGACTATGAGTTCATTTTTTATATGCAAAAAAGGAAATTTCTCTAAATCTGACTAAATAAAAGCAAAAATTGCAACAATAGGAGCTTAAAGTCTAAATTCCTAAAATAGGACTAACCCTTCCTATTCTACTCGTTCTCTTGTCATTCTTAATAGAAATTAAAAAAAACAAAAAAAATAAAAATAAAAAAAAACCTAAAAAAATAAATAAAAAAGGACTCAATCACCACTTCAACTACCTTCCAGCACTTTCACATCAGGTCGCCGGAAAAGAATGCCAAGTTGGAAAAAAATGTCATTGTGATGGCAATTTTGAGAAAAAAGTTGAATCTTTCAAAAGAGTGAAAATGTCATCTTTATGGCATTTTCATTAGAATGTGCAACTTTTTATACAAGATGGCATTATTTCCGACGATTGAAGTTGATGATGTTGGGAGGTGGAGGATGCGGTGGCAGTGAACTACATATTTTTTAAATATTTTTTAGGTATTTTATTTTTATTTTCCAGTTTTTATTATTACAAAAATATTTTTTGATATTTTTATATTGTTATTATAAGTAAAAATCTTAACTTTATTATTAATAAAATAAAAGAACAGGAAGACGGGATATATATTACTCTATTTTGAGAATAAAAGAATCATCGTGTTATTGTTACATTTATGGCTACTTTTAGTCTTATTTAGGACACGTAGTATTTTTTTACATTCAGAAATGTAAACCCTATCATCCCTTTCAATTCTTCTTTGTAGAGACCCAAGTTTCTAAGCAGTCATTCTCCTCCCTGCTGGAATCCGAATCAACGGCCTTATCTTTCAGGTGAACACCCTAGAGGTTGTCTTGAATAGATTGATCAAAAGCAGTCCTGTTGCCCCCCCAAAAAATCTAAGTTTCCACTGCAAGTTTGTTTCAAACATATTAGGCCCAATTCTAACTTAATTGCAGTTTCTATTTGCTGTTTCTAGTGCAGAATTTGAGAATCACCTTTTCGCAATCCAGGAAAACATGGGAATTAGATAAGAGCAAGTTTGATTTGCAACTGAATCTGTGGGCACTTTCGAATTCCATGCCAACATTGCAAAATGGCCATACGAATACTCAATGGGTGCGCCGTTTTTTTTTATATCATTTAAACATATTTCAGCTAAAGACCACTTTTTAATACAGCACCAGATTGCATATTTTTGCAGTGTATCTTGGGAATGTACCTAGTGGTCCTAGTCTTTAACACATTAAGTTAATTCTTGAAGAAGAATTGTCAGTGGTTCTAAATACCTGCCTTTGTTAACTCTTTCTTTGTTCCCAATTCGGCCATTCTGAAATGGAGTGGTGGAAGGGATTTAATTTGGGAGGTTGATTTTGAGAGAAATGGCATTCAGCTCATTTCATTGTGTTTAGTTGTATGTAGTTTCTAGACTACATTGCTCTGATGATGACATATAACATGTTTTCTTCTTTAGATATATGCTTGACAGGTCCCGCATAAAGCCTATAATTGAAGATCCTACAAGTAAAACGAGCCGTTACTTAATTTTATCTGAAACAATCCAAAATGCAGGTAAATATTGCTAAATAGCATTTGTAAATAGAGGATCTGAGGACGGGACTTGTAATGTATAACGATACCTACTTGGCCTAAATTAAACAGATTTATCAGAAGTGCCAGCCCAAAAGCTTGCTGAACTGGAAGGTCTATGTGAAATTGAAGTAGTCCCTTATTCGCTGACATTAGGGGTATTCATATTGGAGTGCAGGTTACATACTGAGGTTCATTTTTAATATTATATACATACTAAAATTCATTTTTATAGCATACATCATTTTGTTTTCCCACTCATGTTAGATAATTTTGCATCCATATTTGGTTAATTTGCATGAGACATCATTTTGTAACTCTAAAAATGTTTTTAGTCACTGCAAATATAACGCCTTTTGGTTTAGATTCCTGATTTCCTGCAAAATATTTTTTCCATCACCTGCAAATATGCTATTTTCTTTTTTTTGTCCACATCTAAAGACAATCTCCATTTTGAAAAAAACATATTGTCTTCTCTTAACTTCCTATGCCAACGACCAATGTTTTACAACTTTTTGGAGGCTCTAGTACTGGAGCTAAGGCCAAGCTACACTAAACATTTATGTTTTTATTGTAGGCTATCTATAAATAACATTAAAGTATTGTTTATCTATAAATATCTTTTATGTTTTTTAGAAAAATTAAATGACGTGAGAAAAGCAAGACAGAAAGTTATGTCTTTTTTATTGTTAAATGGAGTCCCTAGAGAGGGCAATATGAAAGGACAAACAAGAAAATAAAGCAAAATACATGGATGAAAAACAATGAATTAATTTTGCAGTGACCTAAACAAAATAAACATCATATTTGCAGGGACTGAAAACATTTGTTTTTAAATTTCAAAATGCTTCCATCTATAACATATTGACATAATTTAGTTTGTTTTTCTATATTCTCACTGAAGTAGTTCATTGCAGACCATATACTAAAACAGATTCTGCCTATTGGACTTGAAATTCCATCATCATTTGAGACAATAGTTAAGTACTTCATAATGCATACTGATGATCTCTATACTTATTTCACTCTTCATTTCCTCCCCCATTCTTGCTTACTGTGTGGAATACAAGCTTGCAATATTCGAACTATCTTTTTCAGGTTCCTGATAATATTGGGATTACTTGATATTTGTTTGCAGGTCATATTGCTCATTTGAACATAACCGACGAGCTTCTTCCATACAAGGATGTGATTGCAAAAGTTATTTATGATGTATGTTTACTTAATTATACCTCTTATGAACAAAATCTTGCTGGTTTTTTTTTTCAACACTAAGTTCAGATTATGTGGAACCGACCGTTGGTTAGTTTCTGATTAACACCACAATGTGTGAGCTAAAGTTGAATGTGGTTTACTGCCTTTCTCGATATTTGATATTTCACCACTCATTTGTTCTTATTCAGAAAAATTACCCCAGAATCCAGACAGTTGTCAATAAAGTTGGAAGCATCTCAAATGAATTTAGAGTTCCAAAATTTGAAGTACTCGCTGGGAAAGATGAAATGGTTACAGAGGTAAAGCAATATGGGGCGACATTTAAGCTTGATTACAGATTGGTCTATTGGAACTCAAGACTGGAACATGAGCATCTAAGGCTAGTCTCACAATTCAAGGCAGGAGAGACAATATGTGATATGTTTTCTGGTATTGGTCCATTTACTATTCCAGCAGCACAAAAAGGTTGCAGAGTGTATGCAAATGATTTGAATCCAGACAGTGTCTACTACCTGAAGCTTAATGCTGATCTGAACAAGGTTAAAGACCTAGTGTTTGCATATAATATGGATGCGAGAGAATTTCTATCTCAACTGATGGCTGTACCTTCTGGTCAAGGCAATTCGGAATCTGGCGTTCCTCCTGAACTTTCAAGGACATGTAATCATGATCATCCAAATGGAATAACAAAGTCTGTAGAGACAAGTGAATCAGGTATTTTGCATGCTGCCTTTTCTTTTTAAACATGATTGGAAGTTAAAGTCCTAGGTGTTGCCGTGCCTGGTGGGAAGTGGAGGGCTGCTTATGCCTTGGTCGCCAATTTTTTTTAATGGTTGGATTGATCATGTTAGCTGACCCCAAACTCTTTGGGGAATAAGGCTGAGATGTTGTTGGTTGGATAGATTTTTTGAAATTAAATGTTAAGGTATCTAACATGAGTTTAACGACATTTCATCATTTCGTCTTAAAAATTTTCATATATAGGAAAAATGATTAATGGAGCCAAAGATTCATTATTTTTTGGCTTGAGAATATGATGGAATAAAGCAAAATGGCTCACTAAACTGTCTGCGCTTCTTTGTTATGAAGTAGCAGTCAGCTCATGCAATTTTGGACGCGATTTTCACTATGGGTCATCCAGAAACAGTCTCTCTGTGCTTTAGTACAGAGGTAAGACTGGTAAGACTGCGTACATCCGACCCCCCCCTTACCCCACCGTAGGTGGGAGCCTTTGCGGCACTGGGGTAAATGAAAATGATGATGAGGAAAAATGATTACTGAGTTTTTCCACTTTTAGTCCACCGGCCATTATGTGAGTGATACTTTTTGTCTTCTGGCACTTGTTTGTATTTTTTCCACTTTTAGTTTTCATTTGGAACATCACAGTTTGACACCTTTTTTAGAATTTTTCCACTAGTGGTCTGTTGGGTACTGACTTAATAACAGCGATTCAAGAAACTAGCGACGAAGAAAAGAAGAGCGTAAAAATAGAAAGCTTTGTATAACAGAAGAGAGAGAAATACAAGGCAGTTTAAGAGTGCCCACTCTCCAAAGTCCCAAGCCAAATGATAATTCCAACCTCCCTTCTATTCTACCCACAGCCTCTATTTATACTCACTATTCTAATATTATTATTACTATCATTTATTATTATTAGTGCTACTCTATTTGGTTCCTAACATATCCCCCCCTTTAACAACCACCTTGTCCTCAAGGTGGGGGATAGGACACAGCCTTGACCTTCTACTTCATCTTCATCCTTTCACCTCTTCCTTCCCAATACCTAACTGATTGCGGGGCCATGAACTTCATTGCCTGAAGAACACACTGATTGTTGGGGTCTTTGTAATTGTTTTGTTCCTCAAAACCAGATTGTGCTGTTTGATCTTTCCCTTCAATATCATTCTTTGGATGTACTGGCTGCGAATGGATCATACTACTAGTACTGATATTCATTAAAATACTGTATCCATTTCTGGTTAAGCACAGAGTAAGTTCTTCCCCACTTTCATATGAAGTTTCTCCTTCCGGTTTCTCAGTATTTTGATGAACACCCAAAGATGCCTGGCAGCTTACAAACCCCACAACCAGTTTGGACCCTGATGCCATGTACTGCCGGATGTATACTGGGGAATTGATAAGCGAAGAAATAGCTGTACTAGTACTAAGACTCTCCATGTCATTCACACTATTTCTACAAACTGAAGTGTGGGCCATGTGAATCTGCTCTATATCATCAATTTCTATAGCATAAGTATCTACTACCTCCAAATATTTTCCAAGGAGAAACCCATTCTTCTTGTTATTTTCCAACAATTCATCCTTAAGCCAAGTATTTTTCTTGAGATCTTCCACCACCGAAACAGAAGAATGAATTCCTGATGCGCTTGTAAACAGTTATCCAAACAGCCAATTGGAGAAGGATGTCTGAAACCTCTTTGCTTCCCTGACTGGGTAGACATCCAACATTATTAGCCCAAGTGAGGAATAAGAAGCCATAACTATTTTTCTCGGCAAGTATAGTTCCACTTCTATCTTTCCAACATCTTCACCTAGCTTAGTTTCCATTAAAAGAACACTACTGGCACAATATACTTCTGGATTATTGGAGCATAAGACCATTTTATAAGGTTGAAAATTTATTTCAGCTTCCATTCCATTAACAATTTCTGGTTTTACAGATAAATCCATGAGTTGTTCCCTCTGGGCGACATCATCTACAGCAACCTGAATAATAGGGTCCAACTCCACATTGATTCTAGTCAACTGGTATTCATGAGCAAACTCCTCAGCCCATCTCAGTCCAGAATTAAAGGTGTCCCAAATTCCAGAAACTATCAAACTGTAGCCCTTAACTGTCATCCCCAATTGCCTTGCTAAGTTGCCCCGGAATAATACAACACCTTCACCCTTAATGGCTTGGTTCTGACTGTCACCCAATTCCCAATCCTTCTCTATTTTCCTGAATATCTTTTTACCAATTATCAAGGCCTCCTGGAAGATAGCAGGATTGTTTTCATTGTTAAGCATCAGAAACATGTCAGCCTTATCATTAGTAGCATAATCACCCCTTTCCTTCCAATTCTGAGTAACTCTTACCCCCAACTCATTTAGAATATACCTTATAGAAGTAACACCAACAAATCTGAGGTTATCAAACTTGTTCAGTCCATCAAAAGTAGGGTATGATGAATACCTCCTAGTATCATTGGTAAGGATATGTGTATGAAACTGGTCCTCTTTATCCTCTCCTGTGTCATTGTTGGTCAGTACCAGGGCAACATCAGTGTACGCTTGACTATTTGTTTCTTGATGGTAAAGAATGTCAACTTCGCTATTTTCTTTAACTGTTGGTGCCGCTTGCTTCAACTCACTCTTGATTTCCGGAAGAAGAGTCCCTGCAATTTCTTTTCCTGATGTGACGATGGTTATGGTTTCTGAAACGGATGATTCATGTGGGCATGTTGAAACTAGCGCACTGGAAATAGTGGCTTGCGATGACATATGCTATTCAATAAACAGGTCTTGCGCAGGGTGGGAATCAACTTGTGATGACCATTGGTTATGCTCGTTTAACCTCGGTGAACTGGCAGCAACTGTTAGCGCCTGATACGAATCTTGCGAACTCAGCGAATCAAACAGCGACAAACTTTGCAAACTCGACGAAATCTGCGAACGATGAAGAATGGTTTGCGAACTGTTCTTGCTTTTGGAGTTTCCGCAGCGCTTTATGGTCCTCGATCTTCCTCGCGAGTGCCGATTGTTTCTTTGCAAGATTAATTTGCGCATCTCTTCGCAAAACCGCCTGTTTTCTTCACACATCTCTTCCCAAAACCGCCTGTCCTCTATGCGATTCTTCTCCAGTCTATTTTCCATCGTTCCTCGTGTAGTAACCCTTGACAGGCTCCAGGAGCTCTGATACCAATGTTAGGTACTAACCTAATAACAGCGATTCAAGAAACTAGCGACGAAGAAAAGAAAAGAGCGTAAAAATCGAAAGCTTCGTATAACAGAAGAGAGAGAAATACAAGGCAGTTTAAGAGTGCCCACTCTCCAAAGTCCCAAAGTCCCAAGCCAAATGATAACTCCAACCTCCGTTCTATTCTACCCACAGCCTCTATTTATACTCACTATTCTAATATTATTATTACTATCATTTACTACGTATTATTATTAGTGCTACTCTATTTGAGTCCTAACACTCCAACTATTGTAGCAAAGTTGAAAGACAAGTGCCAAAAGTGTTATTTTCATGATAGTCTGAGGACTGAAATTCGAGAAATGCAAAGACGAGTACTGAAAACGTGTCTCACAATAGTTAGAGGTGTGAAGGTAGAAAATGCAAGGATGGATACCAAAAATGTCATTGCCACAGATATCTGATGATTAACAGTGCGAAAAACTCTATGATTACCATTCAATTACAATAAGATCTGAGGCCAAAAGCTTGTGAGTTGTGACAAAAAGGAGTTACAAATTGGCTAACGACTCAGCCCCCTACAAAACAGGAAGATATCATTAAGTATCCCATATTTCTTGTAGTTTATATCTGATATTGGTTTATTATTCGATATGCAGAAGTGTGCAGAACTACTGATAAAACGTCACTTTAGCAACAACAATAATTGAATTTTAAAAAATAGGTTGGAATGCCTAAGTGGTTAACCAATTTAGGCCGATTAGCTAATGCACGTCTATGCTGCTTTTTAGAATGATGGGCATAATAGTATAATACTATCTCCTTGCAGATGAATTGGAAGAATTGCCTGGCAATGCTTCAAAGATTCCTGATAGTGCTGAAGGGGAAAATATAACTGCTGCTAAAAGACATTGTGAGAGTTTTAAAGAAGGTGCTTTACACTATTACAATGGTTAAGCAAAAGGAAGTTCAAGTTAATCCCTACATCCCCCAATGTATTTTATTAATTGAATTTCCTATTGCAATGCTTACTAAAAACAAATGGTGTGAATTTTTTATTTGAAGGAAATGAGAGAGTTGAAGGTAGCAGTCCTCTGACTGGTACAAGAAAGAGAGGGCCAAATAAGAGGGTTAGAATTTCTGATCCATGTGACACAAATCCGGAGCATGTAGATCACGTCATCATGAACTTACCAGCATCTGCTCTGCAATTTCTCGGTAGAGTGCTGCATCTCTTTTTTCAATTTACATTTATGTATCATAATAGTGAAGCTCTTTAATTATATATTTATTATTGCCAAATTGTCTAGCATCACTTATGGCAGTTAATAACTTGCTGGCCTCCTCATTATATTAAAACCCTTGAGATTCATCTGCTAATATGATGCGAAGTTACTTTTTTTCATTGTATAGAGTAGAGTAGGTGGTTGTGGGGCCGGGGGATATGTGTGTTATGCTATACTCACAGCTGGCAACCAAAGAAATGTTGAAAACTTCAAACTGAATACTTGTTTATGCATACATAGAAACAACTACTTATAGAGATCAATCAATTTTCTAGATTTTGTACATCTTGATTATATAGATTAGTTGCAAAGAGGAATAGTGGGAAAAGAATGATTCATCAAAATTTTCTCCAATAGATGTGTTTAGAGGCCTTATAGAAAGGAGATGTTGGAAGGGCTCTTTACCTTGGATTCACTGCTATTGTTTCATGCGCTCGTCTGAGACCAAGGAATATATAATTTCAGTAAGTAAATCTAATCCAGTGTTTTTCAATATCCAACTTTTATGTTTTAAGTTTTGAATTCTCAGTTTCTAATAGACATGGGTTTTAACTTATGTGTTGTTTGTTTGCCTTGTTTTTTCTCATTTGCAGGAAGCAGAGACTGCATTGAATGCTAGTATAGCAGACCCAATATTTCACAGGGTAAGAGACGTTGCTCCAAACAAGGTACACATCTACACCTAACCATTACTGAATTACTTGAACATAATCCAGTTTATAAGCAACCATAACTATTTGCAGGCAATGTTTTGTTTGAGCTTTAGATTACCAGAGGAAACTTGTAAACATCACAAAGTCAATGGTAGCTCTCTGCTTTCATCAGTAGAATCTTGATTGGTTTCTGGGGCAGCTTTCAACTCCATGTGGAAGTTTAAGCTCTATGTATTCCTATAAGATGCCAGCCGAATTGGAAGAAACAATGGAGCATAAGGTTTATGAATGTACTGAACATATGTTGTATTCTAAAATAACTAATAATTTGGGATCATGATTTGAACATTTCATCTCATTATTGTTTTATAAGTTTCCTTGTACTTCACATTTTTACTTAATTTTTGCATGAACTTATATACGTAGTACGGAGAAATATTTAACCAATTTGGACAATATTTGGCACTACTTTCCATGTTCTTGAGTCCAGCTAGTTGTGATTATGGAAATGTATTGGTCATTTGGTCAATGGTAATTGTATAATTGTATTATGGAATAAAAGATTTTACATGGTCTTACACAGAATATCAGCTTCTGCAACGTTTACATTATTTAATCATGTCATGACATGAAGTAAAAATATAATGAAATGAAACCTAACAAGACTATTTTTACTTTTATTTTTATATACTTTTATTTATAAGGTAATGCTGGTCGCCTGGTCACTTTCCAGTATCTCTATTACGTAGTGCTTTCAGCTTTCAAGGACAGCAGCAGCAGAGACTTTCCAAACAGCATTCACAGGTCTCAAAGCAGCAGAAGCAGCAACAAAATGCAAACAAACTGTAATTTTTTCCGGTTATTAGAAACACAAAATTAAAACATTGATCAAACATAAGTTTACGGGAAAAGAATGAGTGATTCGAAAAAGGAAAGTAGCAAACCAAGCATAGATGCATCCTTTCTCTTCATGGCGCAGCTCGATGTGATCAGAGTATGACATTTCTTGATATGCTAGGGGTACATCCATTTTCTTATTTCCAAACTATTCACCTCCTATCTAAGTTAAAATCTTGAATGAAGATTATTTATCATTACTGTAAATAAGTAAAGATTATTTATAGATAATTTAAAGGGACAAGAGGGTATGCATGCAATGTGATTCTGTAGAAGCGGATGATGGCAAACAAAGATGCAACACCATTGAAAAGTTAGACTGTAGGTCTCCATGTTTGACTTTCTTTTTTTTTGTGCAACTTCTATTGTCGTTTTTAGGGGGTGTTTGGATCTGATTCTTAAAACTGTTTCAGCAGAAGCTGGAGTGTTTGGGTGAAAGTGTAGAAGTGATTCTGGTGCTCTAATTTACTCTTGGAATAAGATTTTTTAGAAGACTGATTCTGATTCTGCTTTAAAGAAGAAGCAGAATCAGAATCAGTTCCAAACACCCCTTATAAATCAATACAATTTTCGTATTAGCATTTCTTATGCCCACTTCCAAGAAGTTCGTTTGAAGTTTTAAATGTTTCTCTTTTTAACCTCTTTATGCAGTGTTAACTATAATGAGTTGACTTGAATCAAATTTTCTCGGGGACAACTGTATGAATCATCTCAGTTCATTGCTATATCATGGTATTTTCTTTGCAAATAAGTACTGATTTACATATCGGGAGATACCCATATGTGTATACTTCATACATATATGTAATTATTTGTACTTTCTTAGTAGAATTGGGTTATGTAGTTATGATAGGACACTCTCTAAAGATGTTTTTACTGGTTTGATCTGGTCTGATAAATGTCTGGTCTCTGTGTATTTTAAAACTGAAGACTGATCTGGTCTGGGATTGAAATAAGTCAAATAAAAAACATCCTAATTCCCAATATAGTTGGATTCACAACTAGATTTTTGGACCATTTCAACGAAAAAAATCAATTGATATTACATGTGTAAAGACGTGTAATTGTAATTTTTATCTATTAGGGCGTAATTATTTCATTAAAAATTTGGATCATTTATAAACTAGTTTATTTTTTTCAAATAGATAGGAAACTAAACAAAAATTATGCCCATTTTGACTAGTTTAAAGCTTTCAAAAGGACAAAAATAATAAAAATATATAACAGGCACAACATGGATTTTAACTTTCACCTATTTAATGGACTAACAATATTAGATCCACATCACGAAAAATTGACTTTATTAACAAGAAGTCAAGAATGCTATTACAAGTTTTTTTGACAAGACTATTACAAGTTAATATACATACTGACATACATACATTTAACTTCATTAGTCATTACAATGCTCTAAAATTTGTTACACGTCATAGGTTCATTTCTTTATATTTTATTCTCATTGTACCCTTTCTTTTATTCTCATTAACTAATCTTTTTAGCATGTCTTCACTCTTCTTTCATGTGTTTTAATTTCTCAGAATGCCAGATGGTAAATCCATACCTCAATCTATGACAAATCCTTTTAATTTAGAACTTCTAGTTTGAACTACTTAAAGTTGATTGCTTTATTCCTGCCACAATGGAGATCTACAATCTTGTTGTCCAATTACATTCATAAACAGAGATTAATAAATTACTAGTTATTGTAAAGCTTTCACTATTTTATGCTAGTGTATTGTTGATAGTAGATTCATTCGAGAATTTGACTAACCTATTTGATTTGGCGGATTGCAAGAAGATTTTTGGTAATATAACTGTTTGATCGTATCGTTTAACATGTAAAATGAAGGAATTGCTTATATATTTCAAAACTGTAAGCCCAAAACACTCTTAATTGTAGTGTTTCTATTTCAGAGATTAAATAAAAAAGTAGAGATGAATCACTATTTTTCACACAAGGTATCATTTCCACTGATTGAAAACGCGAAAAAGGTCAAATCGCTGTCTTTGACTAGAACTTCATTTTCCATTTGCATCGTCTGTTTCTATATTAGATATTATTGTAGCTAGTATTGAACTATATGATTGTGAGTGTTCTTGTTATTTTTATTAATAATAATAATAATTATTGCTTCCTGAAATTTGCAAATACTTTTTAATATTGTGCCTTACCTCACGGATTTTGCAATTGCTAATCATCCTGCTAATCCCGTTTAATAATTCTATTATCAACTCTCTAAATACTTCAAAACTCTAATACTGCAAAAATTTATTATCTACCCGCACAGGTAGTTCAGTTGGTTGAGTGGTGGGAAATTTAGAACAATGACCAAAGTTCGAAACTCATAGCGACCGTATGGAGGTTACAGCTCCTGCGTGCTAGGCTAGACCTCTTATGCACACGGATACAAGGCCTACCACCATTGAACCGAGTGAGTCGGTGTGACTTACTCCTTCATCTTGTTTTTTGGAACAATTTATTATCAATCTCACAGAAATGTTATAATTCTGCCGTGAAATATAAATATCACGTGTCATTTCATTTCTTTCTCTTTCAGAATTCAGATGATGTTATTGCTAATACCAACGAGGAAAGGAACGCAACTTATAATTGAGATAATGATTAGATGATTTGACGATAGTTGTGAAAATACATTAACGTTTAAATGACAGGACGTGCAAACGTGCTATCTTAATTGCGACTTAATTATTGAACATACTACGTGCGTACTACGTATTATTTATATAAATTCACGTACGTGCAATTTGTGACAATGTGACATGATGAATACAATTGATGTTATAAAGTGGTTTGTGACACGATTAGTAATGTGTTGATTAATAACATGATTAGTAGTTATAAGCATTTTAGGATAATGCATGAACATGTCCGGTCACGTATGCGACATTTGAAGAAACTATTGATAACATCTGACTTACAACCTGAGATTGGCTACCTTAGGACCCAGTAGAAGACCCACAACATTTTTCAAGGGGGGCGAGTGGGCGACTGAGAATTCTATGGTGCATCAATACTTTATCCTGATACTGTATCCGCGTGTGCAATACTTATCTGATAACGATACTCACTGATACACGTTATGTACGTATTGAGTCGTATCTGTGATTAAAGTATTGGGCTTATACTTAAAAATATAGATATTTCTGATACCCGTATCCGTAAACCGATACACGTATCTGACTCTATAACCTTAATTTCAAACACGACATGACGAAAATTTAGAAGCCGCCTTAGCGATCACAAGATATGGAATATTGATAAAGATAACTTCGGGAGTATGAAAAATATTGGAATACTATAATTTGCCATTTTGTCGCTTGATGAGTTTTAATTGAAACTAGTCTTGTTAAAAGACTTAGATGTAAATGCAAATGGAGAACCAAAAATATTAATTATTTGAATTTAAATCGAAATATCAGTACTTTGATTTTTTTAGTCTAATCGTTGAAATTTTATTATAATTTTTAATTTTTTGTGCTATTATTATTATTTTATTTATGAGCCTCTGAATTATATATATTTTCTAATTATACACTATATTATTACGAGTAATATTTATAAGTATACCCATGTACATGTATCCTATAATTTTTGAAATTCTCGTATCGTTGTACTCGTATTCGCGTATCGACTTATCTATATCCGTGCAACATAGACTGAGATTGATACAGGTCGGCTTGGGTCCGATGTTGGTCTATTTAGCCGCTGCTCCTCAAATCAAAGAATTATAATCCAAATTTAGTTAATTAGTTTAAGATTTAATAATTTCATTCATGTACATCTATCAGTTCTAGATCAGGTTTTTAGACCATTTGGACAGTTCATTAACCCTTTTTGTAGAAAAACAGACTTAAAGTTATAACTCTACGATATATCCTCATATACAAACACTAGAACCATATTGTTTTTAAATACGGAGTAATTTCTAAATTTTTACTACAATTTTATTTATATTATGTTCAATCTATAAAGACCAAATTTGAGTTCCGGTCCAGAATTAAATTCGTCTCTAATTGTACACATTATTATGAAACAAAATTTATGATACTATCAACGTCCCAAAAGAAAGTCCAATTCGGGTATACTATTTATGTCAGCACAACTGTATTGTAATACTACGTATGTGATTTTGTATATTGAATTACTATATCATATTCTAATACAAAAAACAACAAATTTGATGGCGTTTGTTATGAATAGGCGCAGTTTTTTCTACATACTAATTTTCATGATAAAATGGGTTAGACAGTCATTTTATAATGGATTCGAAATGATTTTCGGGAATTCTCAATTTAGCCATTCATAGATAATTTGGGCTCCCCTACTTCACATTTTAATCTTAAGTTGAAAACTTTTATCTTAATGATCGATTTAATTTGGGCTCCCCTACTTTAGATTTTAATCTTTTACTTTACTTCGTTTCTTGTACGATAGTATTTCGAGTAGGTATGCGTTCTTCGGTGATGTTTTGGTTTGTCCTCCCTCACTTTTTGTATTCCTCTTTATTTTTTGAAAATTTGGTAAATATTTCCTGTCATTTATCCCACCGACTTAGGTGGTTTTCCCACCGGGATTATATAAAAAAAACTATGTATCCCACCGACTTAGGTGGTTTCCCACCGGGATTATATAAAAAAACTATGTACAGCTACACTCTCA